CCAGAGAATAAGAATTGCGGCCTCCTCAAATTGTGCACCCTTCCCAAGCAGATCAGCCCCAAGAAGAAGTTCACCTCTAAACTTCGCAATGTTTGCTGCCTCCAAGAAGTTCCCTGATTCCTCTTCCAGATACAGAAGCTCATCAAAACACCCAAAGGACTGCAAGAATGTTCGTATTGAACTCATTGAATCAAAAGCTCTGACATAATTCATCATTGTTCTCTTGTCATTAACCTCATGATAGTGACGTGCAGAGCTCTCCAAAAACTTTTGTTTCTGCTCCTCCGTATCCTTGCTTCTTTGAACCATTTCGTCATCTGCGTTTATATGTTGTTTCCAGTACTGAATGTACTGCAAGCCCATGTCAAAGAGTTTTCCTTTGGTACAAACAGACAAGCATTTTGAGAAATAGTTGCCTCTTGCATACACTTCTGCTGCAGCCTGGTAACATCCAGCAAGAAGAAAACATTCTGCAGCTCTCTCAAGAGCAGATTCCCCACATTTTTCCGAATATATTTGACCTGCACTTCCAAAACATTACTTTCCATGAGCACTTGTACAGGTATATGCACACACACATACAAATGAAATAAGAGCACATAAATAATCGTAGATTAAAACACGATATAGTTGTATTAAAAAAAAAGAAAATTTAATTTTTTAGCCATTAATGAACAAAAACCAAGCCACCAGATAAGATGATAAACACCCAGCTTGGAAAGACAAGGATGCTCTAATAAATAAAATGGAGAATATTTTATTCTTAAATATAATGCTTTTGAGAAATGAAAATGCTAAGTACATTACATCTAACCTAAAAAGCTGCAATTAAAGAATCTTTTTCTTTCTCTTACTTTGTGGAAAGAAGTTATTCAACACATTAGAAGAAAGGAAATGCCTTCTGGAAAACAAAATATAGAAATCATAGAATGCCAGAGCTGTAGAGGTTATTAGTTCAGGTTCATGTTTACAAGAAAATAATATAAACAAGGTAAAAGGAGGGAAATGGAATTGCACCTGCTTTTTCGTACTCCTTTAACATGTAAAAGCAATCTGCAGCATGCTCAGCCTTGCCAATGGAATTAAAAATTTCAGCAGCCTGCCTCCTGGCAATAGAAGACATTTCAGGATTTAAACCATGCAAGCGGTCAGCATCTGCCCTAAGTCCAAAAGCCTTGGAAAGTTTTTCCCCATATGTATCGTGTGCTCTTTCGAAGCATATTGTTGCCATCACATAGTTACCCTGCTGCAGCAGCTGCAGGAAACAAATAAGTGTGATAAAAGAGTAGTTAAATATGCACAAATGTTAAATTCATTGCAAAATTGGTGGTCCTAAACCCATTGAAGTGGCTTCAATCATGTATGAAATTGATTAACAATAGATTAAGCAAAAAAATTAATAAAATTGAGTTAATGGAAATTACAAATAAGACCATCTTCTAAAAACAAGCAAGAACAAACCTTATAACCACGTGATTTCCACTCTTCTGGACTGCTAGCAACTTGCATTGCTTGTGCAAGTGACTCATCCAGCTTCCTAACTTGAACAAGACACTTCTTCTTCCAATAGCTGAACACAGGCTTGGAAAACTCTTCTACATTTTCACAAATCCACAATCTCTGCCTTGTGCGAGTGATAGCAACATATAACTGCTTCAATTCGGAGCACAAAATGTTGTGTTTTGC